TAGTAAAAACCCATCTGATTCACTATTGTCCTTTAGGGAAGGAAACTGCCATCCTTACCTTGTCTGGCCTATATGTGCCTCCAGACCCACGGCAATGTGGTTGTCTCTTAGCTGCCATCTGAAATGGTAACAATCACTAAAATGTCCCATAAAAGAAATGAAACTGGATGAGCCACCAGGCATTGACCTAGGCACTAAAAATGACATTGGCAGAAACAGTCTTACTGATCCTGCAAAGCCCTCCTCACTAACATCTGGGGGTTATTGCCAAAATTGGGAGAGCTGTCTCACAGAGTAGTCAAGCAACAGCCTGACATAGTCGTACTCACAGAATCATACCTCACAGACAATGTCCCAGACACCACCATCACCATCCCTGGATATGCCCTGTACCACCAGCAGGACAGACCCAGCAGAGGGGGTGGCACAGTGGGATACAGTCGGGAGGGTGTTGACGGGGAGTCCTCAAGATTGACTCTAGATCTGATGAATTCTCATTGCTTCAGGTTAAACATGAGCAAGGAAACCTCCTGCTGATTACCACCTACCGCCCTCCCTCGGCTGATGGATCAGTCCTCCTTCATGTTGAACAACACTTGGTTCAATGAAGGAATGGCCCTGGGCATGCCTAAAAATGAGGCGTAAGGGAAAACTTTTTCACCCAGCAAGTAGATTCATAGAATCCCTACAGTGCGAAAGCAGGCCATTCAGCCCATCAAGTCCACACCAACCCTACGAAGATCATCCCACCCAGATACACCCCTTACCCTAGTCCTGTAACCCTGCATTCCCCATGGCTAACCCGCCTAGCCTGGACACTAGGGGCAATTTAGCTTGGCCAATCCACCTAAGCTGCACACCTTTGGACTGTGGGAGGAAACAGGAGCACCCAGAGGAAACCCTTGCAGACACGGGGAGAATGTGCAAACTCCACACAGACAGTCGCCCGAGGGTGGAATTGAACCCAGGTCCCTGGTGCTGTGAGGTAGCAGTGCTAACCACTGAGCCACCACACGGCAGATAAGGGCTCGGACCTGGTTTGTCTGTTGTTTGTTGGTAAGAGAGGTACGGGTCATGTCCCACAAAACCTGGATAAATTGAGCCCACGTTCTCAAAGCTGATGAGATGTTCCCTTATTGTTGTCAGCAGTTACCTGGTGCCTGTATGGGGTCTCCCTAATCCTGCTCTACAGCGGTGAGGACGGCTGCCTTCATCTGGTCAAGGATCACCAGCCCTAGATGTTGGTCCTTGGATCAAATGGATCACTGGACTAAGGCACACGGTGATCAATTTGGTCATTTTGGTCTCCTTTCCTGAGGAAGGATGCTCTTGCTCTCGAGGGAGTGAAGCGAAGGTTTACCAGGCTGATTCCAGTGATGGTGGGTCTGACGTATGAGGAGAGATTGACAAGGTTGGGATTGTTTTCGCTGGAGTTCAGATGAATGAGGGGGAATCTCATAGGGAGTTATAAACTTCTAACAGGACTGGACAGGGTAGATGCAGGGAGGATGTTCCTGATGGTGGGTGTATCCAGGACCAGGGGTCACAGTCTGAGGATTTGGGGGTAGACCATTTAGGACGGAGATGAGGAGACATTTCTTCACCCAAAGAGTGGTGAGCCTGAGGAATTCATTACCACAGGAAGTAGTTGATGCCAAAACATTGAATGTATTCAAGAGGTGGCTAGATACAGCACTTGGGGTGAATAGGATCAAAGGTTATGGGGAGAAAGCAGGATTATGCTACTGAGTTGGATGATCAGCCATGATTATGAAGAATGGCAGAGCAGGCGCGAAGGGCTGAATGGCCTCCTCCTGCTCCTATCTTCTATGTTTCTATGTTGCTTGGCCACATCCAGTCCGTGTATAGCAGACTGTCGGTAGATCTTAGGTCTGGGTGGTATCTAAGAGGTCACCTTTTTGGCTATGTCTGCCAGCTGGGTGGCTGGAATAGGTGTTGTGTATATAGTGCGCCTATCAGCTGTTGTTAGGGTCTAGAATGCACAGCCTGGAAATGCGGTGGAGGCAGCTTCAACTGAAGCTTTCAGGAGGGACATTGGGTGGTTATTTGAATGGAAATAATGTGCAAGGATATGACAAAAAGGCAGGAAAGCAGCTGTATGTAATGATGTTCATTTGAAAAACTGCTCCAGGCACACTGGACTGAATTATCTCTTTCTGTGCCGTAACACTTCTTTGATCCTGTGAAGCTACCAAACAGGACTACATGTGTACCACACAGCAGAAGCAGTGAGCGATAGACAAGAGCTAAATGCTTCCATAACCAATGGATTGGCTCTAAGCTCTGCAGTCCTGCCACATCCAGTCACGATTGGTGGTGGACAATGAAACAACTTGTTGGAGGAGAAAGAGTTATACAGATGCAAGTACAGAATTCAAAAAGATGAACTGTGAAGCTCTTGAGCAGATTGATACAAGAAGCAAGTTGGTATTGGAGGTTCTGGCAGATTTAAAAATGGATAAATCCCTAGGTCCGGGTGAGCTGTATCCCAGGCTATTGTGGGAGATGAGGGAGGAAATAAAAGAGACCCTGGCCCAAACCGTTACATTGTCTCTGGCCACAAAGAGGCAAGGTTGGATCAGTGATAGTCAGCATGGCTTTGTCTGAGGGGGGGTCATTCCTAAAAAAATCTGGTGGAAGCTTTCAACGAGCTGACCAAGTGTATAGATGGGGGTAGAACAGTTGATGTAGTTTCTATGAATTTCAGCAAAACTTTTGACAAGGTTCCACAGTGGAAACTGCTAAAGAAGGTAAAGGCATAACAGACAAAAACAGAAGTTGCTGGAAAAGCTCAGCAGGTCTGGCAGCATCAGCGAAGAGAAAATCAGAGTTAACGTTTCAGGTCCGATGACCCTTCCTCAGAACAGGTCACCAAACCAAACGTTGACTCTAATTTTCGTTGACACAAGGTGGTGGTAGAAGGCTATTGGTGTGACTGGAATCTGGCGTGTGGTGGTGGACCACAGGGATCAATGCTGGGTCCCTTATTGTTTGGGATTGACATAAATAATTTGATTGTTGATTTTATTGTCATGTGTACGGAAATACAAAAGTATGGGATTACAGTGAAAAGTGTACAATGTCACCACAGAAGGTACAGAATCATGAGAACAAGGTAGAAACAAAGAATAAAGTTAAAAGTTAAACATTGCAGCAATTATACTATAGCATAAGCATACGAAATAAGGTTGAAAGATACACACTGCAGACCTTCTTAAGTTTAAGTAGAGAATAAAGAAATAAATCTGAAAGTTCAAACATTACAGTCTTTCTTAAGTGCTTAGTCGTGGTGGGATCCCACTTCAGGAATCACCTCAAGACTGAAAATTCATGCTGAGGCCACACTGGCCTGACAGACTGGCATATACTGCCAAAAGACCACCACACTGGCCCGAGAGACTGGCATATACTGCCAAAAGACCACCACACTGGCCCGAGAGACTGGCATATACTGCTAAAAGACCACCACACTGGCCCAAGAGACTGGCATATATTGCCAAAAGACCACCATGCAGGGCTGAGAGACTGCCACACCTGGCCACTGAGAGATCACCATGCCAGGCCGGGAGGCCGTGTAGATAAGAATGTGGGGTTTGGGGGGGATGCTAAGTAAGATTGCAGATGGTACAAAAGTTGGCTGGGTGATTGACAGTGAGGAGAAAGGTATTGTGTTACAGAAGCAGACCCTGTCTACAAGCTATGTATTCCTCGTGCTTCAGCCTTGCACTGATGTCCTTAAATGAAATGGACCAAGAGATCTGTGAAGGTGTACAGAGACGCAACCTCCCACTTCAAAGCTCTCTTTACTGTCCACTTCTTTGATCAATGAATTGGCCACTCTTCATAAATTCTCATTTTTCTTTTAACTCTTAATTCTTTTATGGGTTTTGGGTGTTGGTGGAAAGGCTTAGAGTTGTAGCTCATAGAGTCCCTACAGTGTGAAAACAGGCCATTTGGCCCAACAAGTCCACATCGACCCTCCAAAGAGGAGCATCCCACCCCGTAACCCTACATTTCCCATGGCTAATGCACCTCACCTACACATCCTTGGACACTACAGGCAATTTAGCACGGCCAATCTGCCTAGCCTGCACATCTTTGGACTGTGGGGGGAAACCGGAGCACCAGGAGGAAACCCACGCAGACACGGGGAGAATGTGCAAACTCCACACAGACAGTCGCCAAGACTGGAATCGAACCCGGGTCCCTAGTGCAGTGGGACAGCACTGCTAACCACTGAGTTACTGTGCTGCCCTCATCCTCGATTGCTACTGAAATGTTCAGTGTTCAGAGCACAGTTCACAGTTAAGAACATTTCACAGTCAACCACATTGCTGTGAGCCAGACCAGGCAAGGATGGCAGATTTCCTTCCCTAATGGACACTAGTGAACCTTTTAAATTGGGAATCAGCAATAGTTTCCTGCTCACAATTACTGAACTATTTTCCTAATTCTAAATTTCGTTTCTTCACTGAATTTAAGTTCTACGAGTTCTGAGGAAGGGCCACTGGACCCGAAATGTTAACTCTGATTTCTTTCCACAGATGCTGAGCTTTTCCATTTTTGTCTTTAAGTTCCACGGAGTTTGAATCTATATCCTCAGGGATTTAGTTTAGGTCTCTGACTTACCATTACAGTGTGGTCTCCCCATTGCCTGAGCACCTATTTTATTGATTTTACTGACTTTTATTTCCTCCTCTGTCAGACCTTTAGGGAAGTTCTTCTACATTACAGAGCTGTCTAAATACGATTTGTCACTGTTAATGTGTCACCAGTCAAATCACAGGGTTTCCAGAAGTTTCTTCCCTTGTTGATTCAGGTGCGATTTTTTTTCCCTCGTTGTTGTTGAAACTCTGATGTTGCTTCGATTCGGTTTGGTAACCGTTTGGTTAATGATCAATGAGGAAGAGAGTCCTGGATACATGATTGCTGTTCCCTAAAAGCTGTGATCACTGCTGGGTCAAAGGAGCAGAATGGTTTTCGAGTTGTCACCTGACCCACGGGGTGGTCAGGCAGTGAGGTGGTGCTAGCTCGATACTGTCCAAGTGTTGGAGTTCAGGTTTGAATGTGCCCAGGACGCCATGCTAGCTCAATACTCAATGATTCTCTCTTGGTGCTGTCTTGCAGGCGGACTGTTGGAACAGGTACGTTCACCTTTAGTCTCTCGTTTGAAGGATTGTGTGTTGATATAGAGCGGCACGGGGGCTCAGTGGTTAGCACTGCTGCCTCACAGCGCCAGGGACCTGGGTTTGATTCCACCCTCGGGCGACTGTCTGTGTAGAGTTTGCACATTCTCCCTGTGTCTGCGTGGGTTTCCTCATGCAGGTCAGATGGATTGGCCATGCGAAATATCCCATACTGTCCCGGGATATGGAGGCTAGGTGGGTTAGCCATGGGAAACACAAGGTTACAGGGATGGCGGGGGGGAACAAGACTGGGTGGGATGCTCTTCAGAGGGTTGGTGTGGACTCAGTGGTCTGAATGGCCTGCTTCTACACTGCAGGGATTCTATGAATCTACATACAGAAACAACATGAAAACCCACAAAAGCTGGGGGACAAGCAGTAACAGACTGTTGAGCTGGATGACCAGCCATGGTCATAATGAGTGGTAAAGCAGGCTCAAAGGGCTGAATGGCCTACCCCAGTTCCAATTCTCTGTGTTTCCAAACAGCATTGTAAGAATTGACTGGAGAGTGCGTGTATTTCCATTTGCCTAGAACCGTAGTGGAGGCTGGCCCAAGAGGGCATTGATGATGCCCTGGATAGGAATGGTGTGCAGGGATAGGGGTTAAAAGGCAGGAGATTAGCATCAGGTAACAGAACCAGTGCAGACGTGATGGGTTGAATGGCCCACTTCAGAACCAGAACAATTGAGTGATTGTGTGAAGTGATGCTGTTTGGAAATACTAGCCAGGAAAGCAGGAACCGGCCCTTTTACACGGAATCATCATCAAATCATACTGTACAGAAGAGGACACTCGGCCCATTGAGTCTGTGCTGTTCAATCTTTGATGTCATATCCGAGAGAGATTGTTTGTGAGTTTGGTGTGCAAGATCAGGAAATAATGGATAGCTGTACGATGGGAGAGATCGGAAAATTTCTTTCATGCTGGGGACAGAGTGTGGACAGGGTTATCACACACGTCCTGCTGAAGCTGAACCAATCACAGAAATATTGCTGGAGCAGGATGGGAAAGGGTCAGAACAGACCGAGCAATGATGGCTGCCTGCTGTACTGTCAGTTCATATGATTCTACACAGATTTTCTGGCGATTTTGTTCTATTGGATCTATTAAAGTTTGCATTTATTGCTTTTCTTTGGTTGCCTTGAGAAGATTATGTTTCATCTCCAATTTAAAGTAGACATTTCCCAAATATTTAAAGATTGTAAGGGCATGAGAAGACGCAGGAACAGGAGTAGGCGATTCATCCCATCGAGTCTGGCACACATGGGCTGATCTGATAATCCTCGACTCCACTTTCCTGCCTTTTCCCCCAACCCTCTATTCCCTTACTGTTCAATAATCTGTCTGTCTCAGCCTTGACTATACTTATTACCCAGCCTGTACAGCCCTGAGGGGTTAAGAATAACACGGATTTACTTCCCTCTGGAAGAAGAAATTTGTCCTCATCTCTGTCTTAAATGAGTGACCAATTATTCTGAGACTAAACCCTCTGGTCCCAGACTCTCCCACAATGCGAAACAACCTTTCTGTGTCTCCCCTGTGAAATCCCCTAAGAATCTTGTAAGGTTCAACAAGGTCGCTTCTCATTTTCCAAAACTCCAATGGACTACAGGCCCAACCTACTCAAACCCACCTCATAAGATAGTCCCTCCATACCCAATTCCAGCCTGGTGAACCTTCTCGGGACTACATCCAATGCCAGTATGTCTTTCCTTAGATAAGGGACTCAAAACTATACACAGTATTCCAGCTGTGGTCTGATAAGTGCCTTGTACAGTTTTAGTAAAACCTCCCTACTTTTATACTCCATTCCCTTTGGAATAAAGGCCAACATTCCACTTCCCTTCCATGTTACACGATGAAGGGGATTTATGGGGATAGTGCAGTGAAAGGGCTTCTAGATAGAAGATCAGACGGGAAATCAGAAAAAGGTCTTGATCCTGCTGAATGGTAGATGTGGCTTTGGGGTGGGGTGATGAACGGTGTGTAAATGGCCTCCCCTTGCTCTTATATTCTTTCCTACTGCCTTGTGATTTTGATACTGAGCAGCAACCTGCCAGGCCATTTCAGAGGCATGTAGGAGTCAAACACATTGCTGTGAGACAGGCAACATAGTAAGGCCAGACCAGGTAAGGACAGCAAGTCTACTTCCCTAAAGCACACCTATTCGGCCAGATGAGAGTTTACTACAACCTGACAGCTTTGTGGTCACTTGCACTGGTGCCAGTGCTCTATTTCCAGAATTTTCTGAAGCTCAGTTCTAATCCTCATAGAACATAGAACATAGAACAGTACAGCTCAGTACAGGCCCTTCAGCCCATGATGTTGTGCCGACCTATTATCCTACTAAGATCAATCTACCCTGTATACCTTACATTTTACTATCCTCCATGTGCCTATCCAAGAGTCGCTTAAATGTCCCTAAAGTATCTGACCCCACTACCACTGCCGGCAGTGTATTCCACACACCCACCACTCTCTGTGTGAAGAACCTACCTCTGACATCTCCCCTATACCTTCCTCCAATCACCTTAGAATTATGCCCCCTCATAATAGTCATTTCCGCCCTGGAAAAACATCTCTGACTATCCACTCTATCTATGCCTCATCATCTTGTATAGCTCTATCAAGTCACCTCTCATCCTTCTTTGGTCCAATGAGAACAGTCCTAGCTCCCTCAACTTTTCCTCATAAGACCTGCCCTCCAGTCCAGGCAGCATCCTGGTAAATCTCCTTTGCACCCTCTCTAAAGCTTCCACATCTTTCCTATAATGGGGTGACTAGAACTGAACACAATATTCCAAGTGTAGTCTAACCAGGGTTTTATAGAGCTGCAGCATAACCTCACGGCTCTTAAACTCAATTCCCCTGCCAATGAAAGCCAGCACACCGTATGCCTTCTTTACAACCCTATCAACTTGGGTAGCAACTTTGAGGGATCTATGGACATGGACCCTAAGATCCCTCTGTTCCTCCACACTGCCTAGAATCCTGCCATTAACCCTGTATTCTGCATTCAAATCCGACCTTCCAAAATGAATCACTTCACACTTTTCTGGGCTGAATTCCATCTGCTACTTCTTTGCCAAGCTCTGCATCCTGTCAATGTTCCGTTGCAACCTACAACAGCCCTCCACAGTATCCACAACTCCACCAACGTTCATGTCATCAGCAAACTTACTAATCCACCCTTCCACTTCCTCATCCAAGTCATTTATAAAGATCACAAAGAGCAGAGATCCCAGAACAGATTCCTGTGGAACACCACTGGTCACCGAGCTCCAGGCTGAATACTTTCCATCAACTACCACCCTCTGTCTTCTATGGGACAACCAATTCTGCATCCAGACAGCCATATTTCCCTGAATCCCATGCCTCCTTACTTTCTGAATGAGCGTACCATGTGGAACCTTATCAAATGCCTTGCTAAAATCCATATACACCACATCCACTGCTCTACCTTCATCAATGTGTTTTGTCACATCCTCAAAGAATTCAATAAGGCTTGTGAGGCATAACCTGCCCCTCACAAAGCCATGCTGACTATTTCTAATCAAACTGTGCTTTTCCAAATAATCATAAATACTATCTCTCAGAGGTGTCTCCAATAATTTGCCCATCACAGAAGTAAGATTGACCGGTCTGTAATTTCCAGCATTATCCCTATTCCCTTTCTTGAACTAGGGAATGACATTTGCCACCTTCCAATCTTCTGATACTACTCCAGTGGACAGTGAGGATGCAAAGATCATCGCCAAAGGGGCAGCAATCTCTTCCCTTGCTTCCCGTAGTAACCTTGAGTCTATCCCGTCTGGCCCAGGGGACTTATCTATCCTCATGTTTTTCAAGATTTTTAGCACTTCTTCCTTCCTAAATTCAACCTGTTCGAGCATATCAGCCTGTTTCATGCTGTCCTCACAAATGTCAAGGTCCCTCTCACTGGTGAATACTGATGCAAAGTATTCATTAAGGACCTCCCTCACCTCCTCTGACTCCGTGCACAAGTTTCCTCCACTGTCCCTTATTGGCCCTAGCCTCACTCTGGCCATCCTCTTGTTGCTCACATAAGTACAGAAAGCCTTGGGGTTTTCCTTAATCTTACCCACCAAGGTTTTCTCATACCCCCTTCTAGCTCTCCTAAGTCCATTCTTCAGTTCCTTCCTGGCTACCCTGTAGACCTCTAGAGCCCTGTCCGATCCTTGCTTCCTCAACCTTACGTAAGCTTCCTTCTTCCTCTTAACTAGATGTTTCACATGCCTTGTCATCCAAGGTTCCTTCACCTTACCATCCTTTCCTTGCTGAGTGGGACAAACCTATCCATTATTTGTAGCAACTGCTCCCTAAACGACCTCCATGTTTTTGTCATGCATTTCCCTGAGAACATCTGATCCCAATTGGTGCTCTGTAGCAGTGGGATTTGAAATCACCGCCATCTGCATTCTGAATTCAGGAGCACAGCAATTGCACCACCATATTTGTGAAATTATTGTTACTTCGGAAAAATTAAACCTTGCCAACCTGGCTTTTGGTTCTACTGGTACAGCGAACTTGCATTAATGAAAATTGCTACCAAAAGTGTCTTCAGATGAAACATGTGTCTAGAGTAAAACGTCCCTAAAGTCAGAAAGCCAAAGGGCCGGAAACAGAACTTCGGTCCAACCAGTCCATGCCGACCATAATCCCAAATTAAACTAACCCCACCTTCCTGAACTTGGTCCATATCCCTCCTTTCATTTCTTTTTCATGTACTTATCCAAATGACTTTTAAACATTGTAACTGTACCCGCATTCACCACTTCCTCTAGAAGTTCATTCCACACACGAGTCACTCTCTGTGTAAAAAAATTGTCCCTCATGTCTTTCTTTTAAATCTTTCTCCTCTCACCTTAAAAATATACCCCCTTGTCTTGAAATCCTAGGGAAAAGACACCTGCCAATCACCTTATCTATACCCCTAATTATTTTATAAACCTCTATAAGATCACCTTTCAACTTCCTATGCTCCAGTGAAAAACGTCCCAGCCTATCCAGCCTCTCCTTATAACTCAAATCCTCCATTCCTGGTAACATCCTGGTAAAAACCGAAAGAATTGTGGATGCTGTAAATCAGAAACAAAAACAGAAGTTGCGGAAAAGTTCAGCAGGTCTGGCAGCATCTGTGAAGAGACATCACAGTTAACATTTTGGGTCTGAAAGTTCTGAGGAAGGGACACCGGACCCGAAACGTTAACTCTGATTTCTCTTCACAGATGCTGCCAGACCTACTGAGCTTTTCCAGCAACTTCTGTTTTTGCTTCTGTTGTTAACATCTGGTAAATCTCTTCTGAACCCTCTCCAGTTTAATAACCACGTTCCTATAACAGGGGGACCAAAACTGGACACAGTACTCCAGAAGATTCCTCACCAACATCCTGTACAAGGCCCAAGAGAAGATACTGCCACCAACAGATTTAAGACCAGCATCTTCCCCGCTGTTATCAGACTTATGAATGGACCCCTCATATATTAGTGTTTATCTTTCTCTGCACCTTCTCTGTAGCTGTAACACTATATTTTGCATTCTGTTCTATTATCCTGATGTACTTATGTAAAATATGACTTGCCTAGATAGCACGCAAAGCAGAACTTTTCACTGTATCTCGTTACGTGACAATCAAATCAAATCAAAACAAATAAGCATTGGCTGTCTGCTATTGGGAAATAACTCAGTGGAAATGAACTAATCTGCAAGGAAGTTTGTGAGCGTCACACAAATCACAGGAACAGAAACTCTGCATCGTTCATGATACTCTTGGGGTCAGTTAGCTCAGTTGGCTGGACAGTTGGTTTGTAACACAGTGTTGCCAACAGTGTGGGCTCCAGTCCTGCACCAGCTGAGGTTACCAGAAAGAACTCTCCTTCTCAACCTCTCCCCTTGCCTGAGGTGTGGTGACCATCAGGTTAAACCACCACCAGTGATCTCTCTCTAATGAGAGAGCAGCTCTATGGTCTGGTTAGTCTAAGGCAACTTTACCTTTACAAAACAATTTAGCTCAGTCCATGCAGTCTGTAAAGAATCTCTTGCATCTTTACAAGCGAAAGAAAATACAAAATAGGAGAAGAAGCAGATCGTTCAGCCCCTCAAGTCTGCTGTACCATCCATTAAGATTGCGACTAATCTGTTTGTTTCTGAAACTACGCATTCTCATCTACCCTCAATAACCCTTGATACCCCTGCCTAGCAAAACTCTATCTACCGCTGCTTGAATAACATTTAATGACCCTGCCTCCACCATCTTCTGAGGCAGAGTTGCAAAACCCTAGGACAGAAAAAAGTTCTCATTATCTCTGTTGTAAAAGGTGACCGTTAGTTTTAAACAGCGCCCCCTGGTTCCAGGGTAACCTGCAAAAGGAGCCATCACTTCCACATCCACCTCAACAAAACCATTCAGGATCTTATACAGTTCAATCTAGTCACCCATCACCATTCCAAGTTCCAGTGAAAACAAACAGACTGTCCAACCTTTCTTCATAAGGTGACCCACTTAGCCATTTTCTCAAACTGCCCCAACAAATTCAACCATTTATGTAAATATATCCCCAGCTTTTCTGGTCCTGCACCCCCCACCCCCCACTCCCACCTTTAGAATGTGAGCCATCATTTAATACTGTGTCTCCTTATTCTTCCCATTGGGATGGATCAAATCACACAACTCTGCATTAAATTTCACCTGTTACACATCCTCTCATTCCACTGGCCCCATACTCCCCAGATGCTTTACACCTTGTGATCAGTTTGGATGAGCTGTGAGAGCTGCAGGATTGGATTGTGAGTAAATTTGGTGCCAAATAACACTCAGTCACTTACTCATAACCTGTCTATCTCCTGGAGAT